CCCCAAAACCCCAAAACCCCAAAACCCCTTGGTCAAAAGATTATAAAAGGGGAGCTGAAATTTAAATTTGAAATTAAATTATTTAAACAGCTCTACTACTTATTTTTGCACAATAACTAAGCAACTAATGTCTAATAAAAGAAAATCTGAAGCTGATGACATTGAGCAGATCTATTAGAAGAAGACCTAGCTTGAGCATATTTTGCTAAGACCAGATACATATATAGGAAGCATAGAAACATACCAATAAATGCTTTGGATCTATGATCGTGACAATGATCGTATTGACTTCAAATAAATCAACTATGTTCCCGGTCTCTACAAAATCTTTGGTAAATAAATATTTCAATAAATCGCTTTTAGATGAAATTCTTGTCAATGCAGCAGATAACTATCATAATGATAAAACGATGAATCTGATCAAAGTTGAAATAGACCCTGAACAGAACATGATTTCAGTTTGGAATAATGGTAAAGGTATTCCAGTTCAAATTCACAAAGTCTACAATTGCTACGTTCCTGATATGATTTTCGGTAAGAAAACCATTCAAACTAAATTGAATTTTAGGCTAATTGCTCACTTCAAGTAACTATGATGATAACAAAAAGAAAGTGACAGGTGGAAGAAATGGGTTTGGCGCAAAATTAGCCAATATTTTTTCAAATAAGTTTATTATCGAAACATAAGACTCAAAGAATTAAAAGTATTATAAACAAGTATGGAAAGACAATATGAGTGTCAGAGAAGAGCCTATCATCAAACCTATAGGCAAAGGTGAAGGTAATTTTTCCCCACTATAAAGATAATGTTTGTTTAGATTTTACATGCATCACATTCTATCCCGATTTGCAAAGATTTAAAATGAATCGACTAGATGAAGACATGGTAAGTCTAATGACTAAGAGAGTCTATGATTTGGCTGGTGTAACACCTGGTTCAATCTCTGTAAAACTCAATGGCAAGAAGCTTGAAATAAAAAACTTCTTAGAGTATTGTGACCTATATCTTAAAAATGATGAGACTAAGCAACTTCCAAAGATCATAGAGAAGACAGAATCAGATGCTAGATGGTAAATAGTTGCTTCACTTAGTGATGGATCTTTTCAATAAGTATCTTTTGTAAACTCTATTTGTACATTCAAAGGTGGTTCACATGTTAGTTATATAAGTGATCAAATAGTTGACAAAATATAAGAGGTTCTCAAGAAAAAGCATAAAACTTTAGACATAAAGCCCAGTCAGATAAGAAATAATCTCTGGGTATTCATTAATTGCTAAGTTGAAAATCCAGCCTTTGATTCTTAAACTAAAGAGACTCTTACTACAAAACCATCTAACTTCGGTTCTACTTGTACTCTGTCTGAAAAGTTCTTAAAAGAAATCATCAGCTCTGGTATAATAGAGAGCATTGTGACTGTAGCTAAAGCGAAGGAAGAAGCCAAGATGGCTAAGAACTTAAATCAAGGCAAGAAGAAAACAAAACTTATGGGTATACCAAAACTCGAAGATGCTAATGACGCAGGAGGAAGACATGCCTAGGAGTGTACTATTATCTTGACTGAGGGAGACTCAGCTAAATCTCTGGCTCTAGCAGGTATTGAAGTTGTAGGAAGAGATAAATATGGTGTCTTCCCATTAAGAGGTAAATTCTTAAATGTAAGAGAAGCCAGCAACAAGTAAATCATGGAGAATCCTGAAATTCAAAACCTCATAAAAATTATTGGACTCAAGGTCGGCAAGAAGTATGAGGATGTGAGTGACTTGAGGTATGGCTCTTTAATGATAATGACAGATTAAGATCATGATGGTTCACATATCAAGGGACTATTGATCAACTTCATTCATCATTTCTGGCCATCCCTAATGCAAAACAATGGATTCATGAAAGAGTTTGTGACTCCTATCATCAAGGCAACCAAGGGAGACTAGGTATACTCGTTCTTTACCATTCCTGAGTATGAGCAGTGGGCTGAGGGAAGAAACATCAAGGGATGGAAAATCAAGTATTACAAAGGTCTGGGTACCTCCACAGCTAAGGAGGCCAAAGAATACTTCACAGCCATAGACAACCATCAAATCGAATTCGAGTATGTAGATATAGAAGATGAAGAGGTAATTGACCTTGCCTTCAATAAAAAGCTAGCTGACAAGAGAAAGGAATGGCTAACTACCTACAGAACTGATCTCTATGTCGATCATTCATAAAATCATCTGAGATACAAAGACTTTGTAAACAAAGAGCTTATTTTGTTCTCAGTAGCTGATTGCTTAAGATCCATCCCTAATCTTTGTGATGGCTTGAAGCCTGGCTAAAGAAAAATCTTATACTCTGTCTTTAAGAGGAGGCTTAGAGATGAAATAAAAGTAGCCTAATTAGTCGGTTATGTAGGAGAGCACTCAGCTTATCATCACGGTGAGCAATCACTTTGCCAAACAATCATTACCATGGCACAGAATTTTGTAGGTAGCAATAACATTAACTTACTACTTCCCATCGGATAATTCGGTACTCGTAACATGGGAGGAAAAGAGGCTGCAAGTCCTCGTTATATTTTCACAAATGTCAATCCAGTCACTAGATTTATTTTCCATCCAGATGATGACTATATTCTAAACTATCTTGAGGAAGAAGGTCAAAGTATTGAGCCTGACTACTACCTACCCATTATTCCAATGAGTTTAATTAATGGTGCTGAAGGAATAGGTACAGGATGGAGCACTTTTATTCCTTGCCATAACCCAAGAGACATCGCTGCTAATCTCAAAAGAATCATGAGAGGAGAGGAGTATCAGCCACTTTAGCCATGGTATAAAGGATACTTAGGCTCTATTGAATAACTCCCTGGAGGTAAATAATATCTTGTAAGAGGTAACTATGAGTTAAATGAAGAAGGGGATCTTGTGATCACTGAACTACCGATTGGAATGTGGACAAGAAACTTCAAAAATTTACTTGAGGAATTAGCAGATCAGAAGAATGGGGAAATAGTTGAGGATATTAAAGAGTTCCACACTGAGAATAGAGTTCACTTTGTTGTAAGATGCAATCAGCAAAAACTTTAAGAAATCATTGAAAAAGAAGGCATTGAGAAGAAATTCAAGCTCTCTACAACAATTTCTACTGCTAACTATGTCCTCTTTGATTACCTTGGTAAGATTAGAAGGTTCGTATCAGAGAAGGAAATTCTGGAGGAGTTCTTCGACTTAAGAAAGTAACTCTACATCAGAAGAAAGGAGTACCTGCTTGCAAAATTAAGAAAAGAATTTGAGTAAATTGAGAACAAAGTTAGATTTATCCTTGCTATCATCAATGAGGAAATAAGACTCAACAAAGTCAAGAGAAAGGTGGTTATTCAATAACTGAGAGCAATGGGATTGAAGACTGCCACTGAGATCAATGACATTTTACCTGAGAAGAAAAGAGTAACAATCAGGTAGGACTCCAATGAAAATGAGGAGGTATAACCAGAGTAAGAAGTCGAAGAAAACCTAGCTCCTGATGAAATTCCTGCTAAGGAATATGACTACCTCTTGAACATGCCAGTTATTTCATTAACTGAGGAAAAAGTTGAAGAGCTTTAAAGACTACTGAAAGACAAGAAACAATAATATGACAAGCTCTTTAACATGCACATTTTCGAGATCTGGGAACATGATTTGGACTAGTTCCTTGATGCTCTCGAGAAGCATGAATATGAAGAGGAATAAGATAGACTTGCTCATGGTGATTCTAAAGCTGGAGGCAAGAAATTTGGAAAAAAGAGAGCAGCTGGTGGTGGAGCAAAAGGAAAAAAAGGTGAAGTTGCAGTAGTCAAGAAAGGAGGCGACGCTTCAGCTAAGAAAAAACCTCAGCCAAAATAGACTACTTTGAAATAGCCTCAAGCACCACCTCAAATTCAGCAAGTGAAGGAGAATGAAATGTCTCTGATGGATAGAATTAAAATGAAGCAAGCAGCTGATGGAAAGACCTTACCCAAGCAATCTATATTAAAAGAAATGAAAAGCAATGAGAGAGATGCTATAATGAATGGCAAAACCACAAGAAGAGCACCTTCTAGTGATGGGTCTAGTGAGAGAAAGCAGATGAAATAAATTCCCAGATAAAGAGTAGTTGCAGATTTAAAGAGATTAGCAAAAAAGGATCAGAAACCAGTTGTTAAACCCAAAAAAAGAACCATAATGGATAGCGATGATGAAGAGGAAGAGAGTGATGAGAGTTTCTTTATGCCTCATGGAGATGATGAGTCAATTTGATAGTTGAAATTTTAAAATATATACGAGTTTTTAGTTGCTATTATTATAAGTTTAATTTTTAATACTTGCCAATAATATGTTTCAATATTCATGGGGTTTTGGGGTTTTGGGG